GCATCCCCGCGCTTTTCTTTTTTTGCAATAAAAACTAGTTCATGTACAAAAGTATGCTTTGCCTTCCCTGATTAACCTTGGTTACTGGTCCTGATCTGCCCTTGTTGCACAACCATGTTATCCTACAGCCACACCGAATCTTTGCAGCAACGACTATCCGACAACCACCAGGCGAACGAGTGCGCAGGTAGGTGCAGCCTGTGCCCGCATAGCGACGACAAGCACTATGTCCCTTGCACTGAGAAACCAAGTGGTCGTGTATCGATACAATTTTAGGGAAAGGGGGGGGGGTACCTCAACATTACAAAGTATGGAAGCTTGCACAAATTAAGAGGAACACGCTTTTAAAAAACAAGAACGTATATTTCCACCGCAGCCGTTGATACAGGTATAAGTGTCATGATAATCCAGCGCTTGAGGGGAGCACCATCCTGGACTTGCAGTATCGTCGGAATCGTGGGCGCCGGAAGCATGAAACAGAAAAACAGAGGTGAGTTATCGGTAGCACATATTGGCGTACGGGCGCCGTGCGGGTAGGCAACCCCTACACACGCCGGCATGCTGGGAGGTCTGACTGCTAGGAGCGCCGCAGCGCAGAGGGGTGTCAACGTGGATGCCAGGGTGCAGACCTGCCGTCGATGCCGCCGTCGCACCAGCACCGTCTCGACGATACCTGCACCGTGCCGACTTCAAAGCAGTGTTAGGCCCTAGGCCGTGTCGCAGCACGACTCGCCGTAGGGCACACAGCCCGGCCTTGACCCGAAAGCACTCGGCTGGAATGTACTTTCACGTAAATCAGTAGAACACCTGGTGCAGCCGAGGCATAGCACAGCACACGCCCCGCGGCCGCGGCGATGCTAGCTGTCAGAGAGCGCGCAGCCGACACGTACTGGAAGGTGACGAGACTAACTAGAGCACCTAGAGCGGCCGTCAAGCGCACAGCCCACGCTCGTGGCCCACAGCCGGCCCAGAGTGAGCACTCGGCTGAGCATTACTTTGAGAACAAAAGTCGTCACGGTGCAGGCATTGTCGAAGGTGGGTGATAGGTGAGGTGACCCCCCCCCCCCTTTTCACGGCCTATCTGCCAGGCCGGTCACATCTGCGGGTTCACCATCGCCTACGGACTTGCGCCCCCCCCCCCCCTCTTGAGAGAGCGCCTCGCCCGTGGGACAGCTGCGCAGTCCACCCGCCCTGCAGCGGGACGCCCACGGCGTTTCCCGTTGCGCCGTCACATGTGTGACCGGTCGGTCACGTGCGACACGTCGTCGGATAGGTCTATTCATAGAATACACCGCCACGTTCCCCGATTCTGGAGATACGCCTCACCAACTCTCACAATCAACATCGAACGAATCCGGGGACGGGTCGGCCGCAAGCAAACTCAGGAGCTTGCAGTCCGCCAAGCACACGCCGTTCCATGTTCCATGGGCACGGGGAGGAAGGCCGAGCAAGGGCCGAGCGGGCCGCGGCCGCGGGGCCAGCAGACTGCAGTACATGCAGTCGATGCCCTCTCGTCCCTCCCCTCCACACTGTGCTCAGCATATGATAATAGAAACTCTGACCTCTAAAAACCGCCCATCTCTCTCCAACAGAATGGCACATTTTCAAGTCTGATCTTGCACAGGGATTTCGTGCCAGTTACTCAACCCTGAAGGCCGCTTAGCATGGAATGCAAGAGACAAATAAATGAGAGATATCTTAAAGCCCTAAGCAACACAGAAAATTTCGTAAGTGCTGTTTTACCACCTTGGCAGGTAGTGAAAACTACTATGCATTAGAAAGGTGGTCATCAGACTATAAACCCTAAGCTCAAAAGTACTTTTTCAAAAAATGAGGAAGGGCACACTTAACTTTGATGTCTGCAGATTACAGCCACAATCATAACCTTGACAGTCGAATATTGAAATGGTTTGTGCGTCTTGCCTTACACCACCAGTAATAATCTGGAACAGAGGGGTCAAGTTAGAATGTGTGTAAAGCAAACCCAGTTAAGTTGTTATACTTTGGAAAAATACATAGAACTCACCACATTGGAAAAAGGCAGTCATATTGGTGCGTCCAGCCGATCAGCGAATTAAAATGGTAATGTACCTAATGAAACAAAAATAAAGTTATTTGAATTATAACCCAAATCACCTCTGCCTACAATGTTACGTGAAGCCTGTGTCAACTAGTACCAAACAGGCTAGTCGACATGTCGATAAAAGGGAATTAACTCACCACTCAAAGAGCTTCTCAATAGCTTGCGTAACTTCCTTTTGTCATGATTTCCTTTCTCCAGACTGGCTACAATTAAAGCCGATAAGACCACCACCTCACATCTGGAAAGAAATGAGATAGATTAGTTTGACTAATTGGGTAAGACTTAATTTCAAAGACGTTGAGGAGGGTGAATTAGTAACGTACATACCTCTTTCATGCTGGTCCAGAGAAGGTTGCAATAACAGCGGCACTAATTGTTTGCTTCCCCTCTTCACTCTAAAGGCTGGATCACAACTCAAAGCCTGATCAGTGATGAGCACCTGTGGGATAGAGAGGACATTCCTTAGCAAAATTCAAGTACTTCATCACAAATACTCATGCACATTTACAGTTATTGAACTGTAGAGAGCTGAACATACCTCTCCAACCCGGGAGTCTGCTTTTTAGACCGTGACAAAGTAGAGCTGTTCAGTCAGATGTCAGCCCACCCCCACCCCTCTCCTCCACCTCCTCCTCCAGAACGACAGCGAGCTTCGGCATGAAGGCCTCTGTCCGCCTCCCTGCCAACTCCGTCACCGTCCTGTGCGCAGCCACCGCCCCGATCATCGACCTCATGCCCCCCCCCCTCCCCCCCGGACCCGCCCATAGGTGCACACTTTGAGACCGTCCAAGACCAAAGTGTTCTCGAACCGAGGGAGGGACGACTTCCACTGCTTTTGCCGGGGACGGGCCGGCCGCCATCAGAAGCTCAGCACAAGACCCGCCACACCCGGGACCCGCGTCCGCCGCCCGTCCACCGACAAACAGAGCAGCGCGCCGGCCGCCACACCCGCGGCGTTCTTGGCCAAGAAGAGGTTCGCGTCGCCCTGGGGACGGACCAGCCGCCGACAACTAAGCAGCGCGCCGGCCGCCACACCCGGGGCGTTCTCGGCCACGTAGAGGTTCGCGTCACCCGCCCTGGGGACGGACCAGCCGCCGACAAACAGAGCAGCGCGCCGGCCGCCACACCCGGGGCGTTCT